AAGGAAAGGCTCTGATATTGAAATCATATTAGTCATTCTTGTGCTTTGTTTTAGACCACGAGGTGAGGGATGCATATACACATGTCTAATATATATCGTGAGAGCAGAACTACGTGTAATGTAACTTTTTTTATTGGTCAAAACTACTTTTTCTTTTCACCAATATCGACAATTAGTTCATCAACAAAAAAATTGTATTAACTGGCGGTGGTGGCTACATGAGCTCAACAAAAAAATATATAATTTTAAAGAGGAATTTCTTTTATAAATTTTATATTATAAACAATAATACCAAAAGATGGGGATGTAGCTCAAATGGTAGAGTAATCGCTTTGCATGTGAGAGGGCACGGGAAATTCAAATTTGCTTTTCTTCTAGTTTTTAAATATATATATGAAAGCAACAAAATTGAAATTATATCACGTGGAAAGTCTTCAATAGCTGGATATTTCCTAAAAGGTAGATGCTTGAAAGAATAAGTATTTGTATATGGTTTCATATTGCCCAAAAGGAGGGTTAAGGTTATCACATGGCCCAACCCTAGATAGTAATGAAGATGATTAGTGGGGAGTTTCATATCGGTTAATTAAGAAGATGATTAGTTAGATAGCTTATACTCAAAGTGAACAATATCATACCATTGTTGTAGGGTGAGTTTGTCTATTTGACCAAATTGGTAGAAAATCTATATCTAAGAAAGGTCTAATGAAAAGTAACTATTAGGAGCTAGAGCACCTAGAAACACCCTTTATAAAAGTGTAGAAATTTTTCCCTAGCAGACGAGTTTTAAAGCTTTGAGGGGAATCCCAAAACGAAAAATCCAAAGAAGACAATATATGCTAGCGGTGGGTCTGGGTCGTTACAAAAATTCATCGAGAACTCTCTTTCTCAACAAAGTTGAAGATCATGATCATACGACGAGCTTTCCAAGGAGAATAGTTGACGAGCATCCACCCATTGACTATGGTAAGTCTTAAAAAGTAGGTTTGAAAACATGCCCAAAATGATAAAGGTTACATATCTTGGACAAGTCCTAGCTCATATGATGGAATGTTGGGCAAAACAAATGGCAGACAAACAGTGGACAACCACAAAAATTGGCTACATGCCCATCCAGTGGGCTGGGAAAGTACACAAATTAATAGCTAAGGGTATTAATAACCAAACTCACCACGTGGTTTGGGGACCTTAGTGCTATCATTTGAACATCTTCCATTCATATATTTCAAGCTTCATAGTAAATCATTGTGTACTTCTCTTCTGCTCATTGCACAAAAACAGGCACCTTTGGGGAGTGCTGCAGAAGGGTTTTCAGAGCTATGGCTCATAATCTGGCTGCTGTTTCATTCCACTTTCCACAGCTTATTATCAGCCGGAAATGCCATCAGAAAAGGCATAGTTTTAGAAGCTTTGCAGTGAAGAACAACAACAATAATCATCAAAACCCACCAATTTTTTCTCTTAGATTCTCCACTTTTCATCCACTTTTTGAGTCTCCTCACGTAACCAAACAAAACCCTTTCTTTAATTTTCTATCTTTTTGTTCTTCAAATGGTGTTTATCGTCGCAGGCTTCGTTTGATGAATACATTGGAGACGAAGATCGATTGTTGAGAGCTACTTTTTCGGGAAAAAGTGAAAAATTAAACAAGGTTTTTATTTTTATTTTTATAGTTGTTGTTTGAATCTCATTGGGTTTGTAATAATGATATGATATTGTTTGTTTCAATGAAGGGGGAATGGAGAGTCGAAATGCCATCTTTTCAATTGTTATTCCTCAAGCTTAGCCCTATCGTTGATGTGAGACTAAGTTGTAGAAGCTGTGCCAAAGATTACCCTATTCATATTCCTCGCCACGTCTCTAAATTTCTTGACCTTCAAATGGTATGCAATTCTCTTAGACAGTGATGAAAGTTAGTCTATTCAAAATAAATTATAAGGATATGAAAAGAGCAATAAACGAATACAAGATATTTGTTTATAACGAAGATTAGGGTGGATATTAACATTTAAATGAAAATGATCAGATGAGATGGGAGGTGAGGGGAATGGGCAAAGATTTCAAGTCGCAAATGTTCAGAATCAGTGTAAAAGGAGCGACGTATGCGGTCAGAACAAAATCAGAATCAAAGAGTGTGCTGAGAAATCATTTGATTCTCGATCTTCACAGCTTTGATTCGCTCATACCCACTGATTTTCTTCAGCCATTTGCAGAAAAGGTACTCACTCGATCCATTAACGTTCATAATTTTCATAAAAGTTAGCTAATTTGATCGTTATTTGTAGGGATTGAAGGGAATGATGAAGGAAAGTATGAGAGATTTTACACAAAATTTGGTTTTGGATTACACCAAATACAAGAAGGAGAAGCAAAACAAGAATGTCTAATATCTCTTACATTTTTTTTTTATACCATAATGTTATTATTTATTTTATTTTAGATTTAATTATTAATGTAATTTAAATATTATTTTCCATAAATAATTAAATGGAAATCATTTTGGTTTTGTACTAAAAGTCAAAGGCTTTACATGAGAGAGCGTTGACAAATTTTAAAACCCGATCTGTACGCGTAACCAACCAGCTGTCCTATCCTAAAAGGACGAAACGACGCCGTATAGTCACGGATAATCCAAATTCCATTTCAATAAAATTCCCAATTTGAGATCGTTCTTCCTCTCGCAATAGATTCATCCAAAGCAGTTCCTTCCAGATCGACGAGATTTCACGATGCCGTACTACACGAGGGACGATGAGGCGGTGGACGACTTCGACGAGTACGATCCGACGCCCTACGGCGGAGGATTTGACCTATTTCTGACATATGGCCGTCCAATTTCGCCCTGCGAAGATACCTGCTACCCGCACTCTGCTGGCAACGACGACGAGTTTGATTACGAGCGTCCCCAGTTTGAATCCAATGCCCAACCCTCAGCTTATGGCGACGACGCCCTCCAGGCTGAGTACAGCAGCTACTCCCGTCCTAAGCCTCATTCTTATGGTGCTCCGCCTCGTCCTGTGGAACAAGAATACGGATCTGGTGGCTATGAGTCTGCTAGGCCCCAGCCGGCTTATGGGTACCAGCAAAGTGAATCCGAGTACGGATCTGAAGGATATGGTCGGAAATCGGAGTCCGAGCAACAGGAGTACGGATCTGGTGGGTATAGGCGGAAACAGGAATCGGAGTCTTACGGATCTGGTGGGTATGGGCGGAAACAGGAATCGGAATCTTACGGGTCTGGTGGTTATGGGGGGAGACAGGAATCGGATTCTTACGGATCTGGCGGTGGGTATGGGCGGAAACAGGAATCGGATGCTTACGGGTCTGGTGGTTATGGGGGGAGACAGGAATCGGAATCTTACGGATCTGGTGGTGGGTATGGGCGGAAACAGGAATCGGATTCTTACGGATCTGGTGGTGGGTATGGGCGGAAACAGGAATCGGATTCTTATGGATCTGGTGGGTATGGGCGGAGACAGGAATCGGAGTCTTACGGATCTGGTGGTGGGTATGGGCGGAGAGAGGAGGGGGAATCGGAGTCGTCTGGGTCTGGTGGGTACCGGCGGAAGTCGGAGTCTGAAGAGTACGGATCCGGGCGAAAACAGAGTTATGAGGAAGAAGAGGGGAGTGGGGGGTATGGGAAGCAGGAGTACGAGAGTTCTGGGTATAGAAGGGAGAAATATGAGAGGCCAAATTATGGGGATGAGGAGCGGATGAGGCCGAGCTATGGGCGGTCGGAGGAGGAGGATTACAGGAAGCCAAGCTACGCCGAGGACGAGGAACGTGAGTATGGGTATGGGGAAGAGGGATATGGGCGCAAGAAATACGTAAGCTAAGCTCACTTCACTCAATTCAAAATGAAAATGATAAGATTTGTTTTGTGGTATTAATTTTGTGGATTTTTGTGATTGCAGGGTGGTGATTCTGACGAGGACAGCCGCCGCCACCATCACCACCGCAGGAACTACGATGATGAGTGAGTGAGTGAGTGAGTACTGATGGCCGATGGGCGTTCTCAAATTGGCACTAAATAAAAGGTTGGGATGCCCACATTGGCTGCTGCTCCGCTCATCCATCTGTGCTGTGTTATGCTTTGTTTGCATGATCAACTGTTGAATGCTTTTGTGTGTGTGTGTGTGTGTTTTTTTTGTTTGTTTGTTTGTTTGATGGTTTTGGGACATAGCTCTATATCCATCTTACTTCTATACTAAAATCAAGTTTATGATGATGCTTTGATAATTTTTCTGTTCTTGCTCTTATTGGGACCCTTTATCTATCCCCTAATAAAATAAGGTTGCCTTCAATTTTTGTCCCACTTCACTAATGACTCGCCTTCCTCTTCTACATTGGATTTGCCACTCATTAAGGAACATCTATAATCCTATCATGCTAGTAATTATTCCGAAATTTTTATTAAAAGAATCAACAACTTTTATACCTATGAAAAATGGGGTGATCTATAGGTGATGAGATAAATAACACGTAAGATTGACTAGTGAACAACAAATCTATAATGAATAAATCTATTGAGAAACAATAATCTCTCCTGGTTCAAACGAACGATATATGGTTAATCAATGGATTTTAACATAAATATTCAAAGAATTTAAAGCATAATTTAACTTTAATTGATATTATTTAACAAGGTTGAATAACAAATGTAGATAATTCAATAATATTGATCCAATTTTTGATAAACTTAATCAGAACTAATGCAATACAAATTTTAAAATAATTAAAAAATGTAGAAGATACCCACTATTATTTGAAATGCTATGGACAAATACCGTACCATTTTCAAGCTTTTGTCAAACATTCAAGATGATTGTGTTTTTACCATTTTCATATAGAGACAGCATTATTGAATCTTACCAAATAGAGACGATGCATTAAATCTTACCATATACTATGTTGCTATTAATAATATCATTTTAAAAAAAATGTTCAGTTTGTGACATCATTTTGAAATGTTTTTCTACCATTCATAAAAAGTCATGCTATATAGTAATGACCTTATTTTAGTACTTTTTGTGAAAGAAAATAACAACAATGTCTGTCTGAGTTTATTTTTTTGTTCCGGAGGGAATGGGGACAAGGGATTCAATCGACGCACCAACCACTGAAGACCAAAGCAAGATGATGACAAATTAACAGAGAGAGGACTTGATTATCTGTATTTGGAATGGGGCAGTGCTTAGGCTTTAAATGGCATCAAGAGCCTGCAGAACATCAGCCTTCAAATCCTCGAAGTCTTCAATTCCAATGCTGAAGCGCACCAAGTTGTCCTTTATCCCATACTTCAGCCTCTCTGTCTGATTAAGATCCCTATTCCATTTCCATTCCCATTACCAAAAGGTTAAATACTTCCACCACCCACAAAAAAGCATAAATACGCATTCATTCTCCTACTGAACAAAGACGTCAAAAGTCAGAATTGTATGTTTACCAATATGACATTATAGCCGGCTGGTCTATGATACTCTCGCACCCACCAAATGATGGAGCAATATATGGAATTTTCAAAGAGTCGATGAATTTTATGGTGGTCGTTATATCGCCATCAACCTGCACCAGAATGAAGAAACTAATGAAACAAACTTGGTGGAGGTGGGGTAAAAGACTAGGATAGACCCTTCAAATGATGAGATGGATCATTGGTCGTTTTTCTTACCTCGAAGCTAACTACGCCCCCAAAACCAGTCATCTGCCTTTTAGCAAGATTGTGCTCGGGATGACTAGGCAGTCCAGGGTAATAAACACATTTGATCTGCAGACAGTAGAGACATAATTTTGTCACATCCAATGTAAATGAATTTACAAGCAGACAATTGTATCCAGTTAATGTATAAATTGAACTAGATGTCAATATGCGACATTGGTTAATTTCCAGTTAATGTATAAATTGAACTAGGTGTCAATATGCGACATTGGTTAATTTCTCCAGAGGAACATGCAACGCATACCACTGATTTATAATTAAATCCTTGCTATTAGATGCCCCAAAGCTTCATAACTTTTAGAATTAAAGGTTCAACAATGAATCTTACTTTTGTTCCTTTGCACTGCCTTGGTCTATTAGTGGGTAGTAAATTAAACGTATGAAACAATATGCAGCTGGATAAATTAAATGGCATACCTTAGGATGAGCTTCTAAAAGCTTTGCCATCCTAAGAGCTGAGGAATTCTGCTGCTGAACACGAAGATGCAACGTCTTCATGCCTCGTATAATCAAGTAAGCAGCATTCTGTAGGATGAAGAATAGCAATTAATTAGACAGTAGGGCTTGGCGCAAAAAATGGTTGAAATGAGCGCAGGAAACCAATAGAACATTCAATCATCAAGAACCGTTACTCCACAACCAATAAGTGAAAGATGGAATAATTAAACAGCATAAGAATGACTCACTGGATTTAAGGCACCACCTATCACATGATGAAGATTCCGAATCTCGGAAACCAGTTTCAGAGAACCGCTTACACAACCAGCAAGGACCTAAAAGACAATGCTCGGTAAATTCCGTTGTTAGGGGAAAAAATGCTCACAAAACTCTTAATTGGTTAATAATTTAAATCCCGATTCCTCGATTAATAAAACCAAAAAAAAAAAAAAAAAAAACATATCAGGCGGGATTACATCATTGTGGCCCCCAATATACTTGGTGGCAGAGTGAAGAACCAGGTCAGCCCCGAGTGAAAGTGCCTTCTGGTTCAATGGTGTGGCAAATGTACCATCAATGCACACCAATGCTCCATGTTGATGACACATCTCTGAAACGAGTTTAATGTCAACGCATCTCAAAAATGGATTAGTTGGGGATTCAGTGAAGAAAAGAGAAACCTGCACGGAAGGAAGATAAAAGGTAACATCAATTTCCACCAAGTCCAAACACGAAAACCTTTAAAAGAAAAAAAAAAAAAAGAAGCTTGGAACATGGTCATACATTATTCTCTTTCAGAGCTACTTCCAGGGCGTTCATATCTGCAGGATCAATGGTGGTAGCCTGCATTCCAAGTTATAGTAATAGTTACCAAGTCAGCAATTAACACAAAAATTTGAACGCACAAATAAACAATTTCTACAACCTCCGATGGTTTTACCACAAGATTTTTTAAAAATAAACTTCATGTTGTTTTCAAATTTAATTTTTGCATTATATTTTATTTATTTAAAACTTTTGAAATTTGTACAGTAATTCAGAAACATAACTAGCACAACATCAAAAAGAAAGTTGGCTAAAAGAATAGAGCTTTCCTACCACCCAGTTCTAGCACAAAACATGAAGCACCAACTTATAGACAAATCCATCCAATTTTCTTTTTAAAGATAACAAACCCCATCTGATTAAAAAAATTATCAACAATAAAAGAATTCAGATGTTCTATAATCAGTAAAAATAAACGAGAAGGAAGATTGTTAACAGGATCTAACACCTCAAATGGAAACTATAATTCTATTTCTTTAAATATTAAAGAAAAAAATCTAAAGAAATGGCATTTGCTCATATTTTCATTCTTCATTAATTCTATTTCCATGCCAAAACAAAAATATTTAATAGGGATGATGGAAGTAATAAGTAAATCGAGAACCTATTTGGAATGAATTGCTAAGAGCTTAAGAATACTTGTTCGGTACTTATAAAAACTATTTTTTTTATTGCATTTGAAAAACTTGTTCGAGCACATTAAGAAAAAAGTCAACCCAAACCGGCTTCAAGATTAGCAGAAAGAAGTAGCCAAGTGGGGACGACACCAGACCAGATAGAATTGCCCCAAGTTGACTTGTTTGTATCCTGAACATAATTTTATCTGGTGAAGGCAGATTACCATCTTTTTATTTTATATATTTATATTTATAACGCCAAGTAGAAAATAAGTTGTCGTATTACATCAAACAAAAACAAAAAATATTCTGACTCTGCCAAAAAATTAAAGCATGCATGCGGGAAAAGGCTATGTATTTCAGAACGAGAGAGATCAAGTTGAACACCAAATCATTGAAGGAGTAGAAAAATGTTAATGAAGACTGGCATTAGCGTAATAATCAACTAGACCACCAAAAAAGAAGAAAAATAAGATCAAAGCTATAATACCGTGATTCCCATTTTGGGAAGTATGGTCTCAATAAAAATTCTCGTCTTCCTGTAGCAATCTGTGGTCGTCACGATATGCCCTCCAGCCGGAACCAACGCCAGCAGCATCATCGTGCTGGCACACATGCCTGAGGCCACAATCAGGGTAGATTCAGCCCCTTCTAAAGCACTGGTACAAAACCAAAACAGCTTCAACCACGATTCTATTTGATCCGGAACATGGCTATTTGGTAAGGATTACAAAAGAAACAAACAACTAGTTCAGAAACAAAACCTTATCTTCTCCTCCGCAACAATTGTCGTTGGATTTCCATAGCGCCCATACTCGAAACTTACAGCGCGCTTCTCCTGCCATGGATCCAATATGGAATAAAGAGTAAGAAAGAAGATCTTGAAGTTTCTTTATATTGTTTTCTTTCAATTTTGATGTATGTTTGAGGAGCAAAAAATCATAGATATAGGGAGAAAAATGATAGGAATCCAAGTAAGTACCTTGAAATCAAGGAGATCAGCAGTTTTTTTAAAGAAATAAGCGGAAGTGTTAACCACCGGCGTAGTAATAGCGTCGTCAACTCTACCACGACCGAATCTTTCGCCTGAAATTCGCACCGAAAATAGTTAATTACATATTTCCAAAAAATCAAAGAAGAAAATTCCTAAAAGCGATAAAAGAGAAAGGTTCGGGGAATCTCAAAGACTCAAAGACGAAGTCAAAGTTCATACTAAGCCCTACCAGCGTGGATTGCAACACTCCCATCGCAATCGAAGACAGAGGTTCTGGAATCACCTAAACCCTCCTCTACCTTCAAACTCTCAGTACCAACGCTACCTTCCAACGCTGCCGCATCAGAAGTGGCAGGCACTGCGGCAGCGGCAGCGGCGTCAACGGCATTAGCCGCCGCCGCCGCCGCCGATTGAAAAGGAGAGGAGTTGTTCGACCACGAAGCCGCGACAACCTGTGCAACGCCAATATTGCTGCAGTTCCTACGCGCCTTGGTACTGAGTTGCCTGACGAAATTGGGCGGAAACTTGAAAATCCGGGAAGAAGACAAGGCGTAAGACGCCACCGTCGCCTTCACCGATTTGGCTTCATGAGTAAATCGGCCGTAGCTGTGCCCTCGAAAACGACCTGCAACAGCGAGATCGGGACAGGAACGGCACTCGGAAGCAGGGCCAAGGAGTCTAGCGTGAGAAGAACCAGCCATGGCTGAACAGAAGAAGAGGAAGGGTATCGGGGACGGTGGCGGCTCGGAGATCAGTGAGAATCAGAAAGGTAAGTTGGAAATGCTTTGTGTGTGGACTGAAATTTAGGAATCAATGCGATTTTATTACAAATCCAAAAACTAAAATTTGATTGGTTAAATTCAATTCATTTAATTATCATAATTTTTAGATAATATCAAATTTTTAAACGCAAAAAATAACAAATAAAATATTGAAACAATAATTTTAGCAAATAAAAAGTTAAAAGAATACCAAAATTTTAAAATCAATTAAATAAAAATTAAATTCAATCAAATTTATAACATTTAATTAGTAAAAAAAAAAAATCTAAATACATTTTTTTGAAGAAAATAAATGATTAATATTCCATTTGCGACAACTTCTTACTTTATTCTCTTATTTTACTTTTTTTTTGGATATATTTTTTATTCCCACAAAAAAATTTACACTACTTTATATAAAATATTCAATATTCTATCCAAAATATATATATATATATATATATATATATATATATATATATATATATATATATATATATATATATTCTTTTTTTTTTCTTTTTTTCTTTTTTGTAATAATATCTTATGAACTTTTAAAAATAATTAATAAAATTTCTATGCAGTTTGTATAGTTACTGCTCTTAGATGTAGGGTAATTTTTACTTTCTAAATCACGGGAATCAATGTCTCTTTATTTAATTTATATTTATCGGTGAGCCACGATTGACCTTCTAACAATTAGTATAAGAGCACTTTAGATGTGGCATTAAAGTACAAACAGGTATGCCTATTGATAGACGGAAGAAACTAGTGAAACAAACATGGTAGTGGTGGGGTAAATGTCGACCAGGATAAACTCTTCAAATGAAGAAATGGATGAATGTCGACCAGGATAAACCCTTCAAATGAAGAGATGGATGGTCAGTCATTTTTCTAACCTCAAAGTTAACTACACTCCCAAAATCAATCATCTACCTTTTAGCAAGATTATATTCATGATGGCTCGACAGTCTAGGGTAATAAAAGTATTTGATTTGCAGACTTGCAAAGTAAACAATTGTATTTTGTTAATGTATAAATTAGTCAACTGATACGTAATTGATTAGTATGTACAAAAACTAGGTCTCAGTATGTTACATTGGTTAATTTCTCAAAGGAGCACACAACTATCACGATTGTACCGTTTTTCTTGATTACATCATGACGCTCATTTACTTTGGCCTTTACGTAATAGATAGATGAACGTCATTTTATTTTATTTTTACGTATATTTTTAAAGATATTTTTCAATTAAATTACATTAAAATTAATTATCATAATATTATTGTATTATTATAAATTAATATAAATAAACATGGTATATTTACTTAAATCATTTTTATGGTATAGCATATATTAACCCAACAAATTACTTATTTGCTTAATTACTCTATATCATCTTTTTAGTTCATAATCTAAAAAAATATTTATAATGGACAATAATCAATTATTTAATTAATTACTTAATTAATAATTGACATTTCACACTTATAGAAAAAGAAAGAGAGAAAAATAATTAGGTAAAATAAATACAAATATTTTTTAATTATCATTCTATAAACATAAAAAAAAATGCATTGAAAAATAAATATTATATATCTTTAATTGTAGTTTTGATCTTATTTGACCATTTTCCTGGTCCTTGATTTGCTGGCGCTGCCGCATCAGAAGCGGCTGGCATTGTGCCAGCGGCGTCAACGGCATTAGCTGCCGCCGCTGCCGCCGCCGCCACCGAGGGAGAAGGAGAGGAGTTTTTCGACCACGAAGCGGCGACAACCTGCGCAATACCAATATTGATGCAGTTCATACTCGCCTTGTTACTGAGTTGCCTGACGAAATTGGACGGAAGCTTGAAAATCCGGGAAGAAGACAAGGCGTGCGACGCCACCGACACCTTCATCGGTTTGGTTTCGTGTGTGAATCGACCGTAGCTGTGCCCTCAAAGACGACCTGCAACAGCGAAATCGGGACAGGGATGGCAGTTGTTCTTGTAAAGAAGAACAAGAACCACTCCCCCATGTAACTCATAACTATGGTTGGTTGGTTGGTTGGTTATGACCACGTGGATTGATTAGGTATATGTAGGAACCAACCCCTAGAGAGCCTGCTTAACATATAAGAATGGGATGTCAACCACTCAGGGCCTACGACACACCAGAGAGTGAGAGTGCTACTAAAGGAGCTCATATTGTGATTAGTGGTAGTTGGTCTTCAATTGTTCTAGTCTGGAATGGTCTAAGAATAGAGAATATTGCCAGGTGCCATTAGTGGAGCTTCCCAATAGGGATTAGTTACACTACTGTGCTTGACCGGAGTCGGTCTTGCATTGTTCTAGCTTGAAATAGCATAGGACGTTTTTAAGTGGTCAACTTTACCATTTTTTTTAATATTAACTTCAAACCTAAAATCACAATTTAATTTTTATAATAAATAATAATAAAAGCTCACTTTTTTAGATGCCACAGTTTTTACTATAATGCCCATAAAGAGTCTTAAAGCTTTATTATTATTATTATTTATTTATTTACTCGGAAAAATAAACCTAAGTTTTTATAATTTATTTTCCATACAATATGAATAAGTCTAGAATTTTTTTATCTATGTTAATTTTAAATATAATACACTTCCAACAATTTATAAAAAATATTAATAATTGCAATAAATTTATTGAAACATAGAAATTGATTTAAAAGCATAATAATAATTGTAAATCAAACTTTCACACTTACATTAATTCCCAAAATAATAATTTCCGAAAATCATAATTAATTTTTGGGTCATTTTCTTTTTCCATCGTTAATAAATAAAAACTCACTTCCATCAGAACTCGCCGCCGAGAATGGCGTCCCACCAGTTGTTCTTGCTGTCCGACGACGGCAGATGATCGCCACCGGCGGCCGTAGACGACGTCGTTGGAGATTCCTCGCCGCCTTCGCCGCAAAGAATAATATATAAATTTCAAATCTCATAAATTTTTAAATGTAGAATTTTGAAATTTACCTGAAGAACCATATGGGTTTTGATTAGCTGATGGAATTGGTTGCGGCTTGGATTGACGAGCGAGTCGTTCTTCGGCTTCGAGCCGAGCCGTTTCCCACTGAGCCATGTGGGTGAGGGTGGAGTTCATATTGTTTTGTTCTTCATTGTTCTTAATTGGTTTGTGAGTGATTGGATCTATCCCCATTTTGATCAGCTTTTTCTTCATATGTGTGTTCCAGTAGTTTTTGATTTCGTTATCCGTTCTTTTAGGTAAATGGGTCGCTATCGCCGACCACCTTAGACACGCGAACAATATCAAAATCAAATCTTTGTAAGAAAAAACTAATAACTAAACATCATGAATGAATCATAAAGACCTGTTTCCGAGGAGCGCATGGAGTTGAACGATCGCTTGCTCTTCGTGCAAACTGAATTTTCCTCTTTTGATGTCGGGTCGGAGGTAATTCGTCCATCGAAGTCTACAACTCTTTCCACATCGTTCGAGTCCTAAAGTTTTCAAAAGAAACTATTAAATCTTCGTCGAAAATTTAAAGAAGTTGTTTGAGTAGCGTCGTACCTGCTTTCGGTGGCAAGGTTCGCCAGCTTCCATGGCCATGCTGCTGAATGTAAGCCAAGAGTTTGTGGTCTTCTTCCGGCGTCCATGGCCCTTTCTTCAACCCTGACTTGTGGCGGCGAGGAGAGGTTCCCATTTGGATATAAACAGCCTTTGTTGTGGAATTGTTTGATGTTTGTGTTTTATATACATGATTCTATGCACTGTTTTTGTATATTAATTATGCACGATCGTAATTAATCATGATTGTGACTAATATCTTGGAAAAAACCTTTTCTTTACTCGTTTTTAAACTAAAAAGTCGTAAAAATTACTCGAGAATTGTTTTTTCGATTCAAACCCATTTGTTGCATCTCGAATTATGAGATCTCACATCAGTTTGAGAGGAGAACGAAACATTATTTACAAGAGTGTGTGTAAAAAATGAACATAGACTGTCACACGAATTGTCACAAAATATTTACGACATGACAAAGATTTAACCATTAGATATCTCTTATATATGTAGACTCCTATACCCAATCTATATCGAAGTAGAGTTTAATACTTCTCTTCCATGTCAAAGTTTGGGTGTTGCATTTGAGTCCGACATATACTTCATTCGATGTAACGTTATTTGTCCACTTTTAGTATGATCGTGATGTACACGATTCTTTATAATTATTTATTGCAATTTAATTGTAACATAATAATTTTATTCAATCTTTTATTGGAAACGTTATTTTAACACCTCTTAGTCATTCAATTGTGTTAAATACTATCCGAAATTCATGTAAATAAATAATATATACCGACTCGTAGATTATAGAAAATTGGTATTATTTCATTATTAATAATTTTAAAAATTAAAAAAATTATTGAGGTTATAAATAAAAAGGTTGAATAAATTGAATCCACAAAACTAACTATTTAATGCCATTTGTAGTGGAACCGACTTGGTGGATATGAAAAAGATTGGCAATTCATTTACTAAATTAATTCATCCATTTGTTCTCTCATAACAAGAATTTTAATTATAAAAACGTTCACAATATTTATTATTTCCTTCATTTATTATTATTATTATTATTTTGTAAATATCTATCTAATTTTTACAATATTTATTGAAATCTAGTATGGAAAATTAGTATAAAATAGCTGTTTTTTTTTATATAAAAAAATATAAAATAGAAAATGAGTATAATTTTTTAAAAGTAGGGTAACGTTGAGCGAGTATGACAACTTCAATCAAAGCACTCGAGAAGCCGCTGTCATCCTCCAATACTCGAGAACTCGTGAAAGCAAGTCCAAAAAGTCATAAGATTTGTGGTCGTGGACTTTATTTGATAAAGAAATAAAAATTCTTATGAAAAAATGACGACAAGTGTCATCCTCTATCATTTATGAGTTTTCGTCATAATCGAAAGTTCTTCACTATCAATTTCAACTATCTCAAATAAATTATATATTTTTTTAGCCTCTGACCTTAAATGAGTATTACATATCGGTTCATGTTGAGTTATTTTTAGTAATTTACGATATTGAAGAGGACGACTCATTAAGTAGAAATTGGACTATCGTACAAACTTGATTGTGAATTTTTACCGAGTTCGATTTTTTTTTTAATTTTTTATTTTATATAGTTTCAAAATAAAGCTGCAAAAATGTCACGTATAAAATATGTTAGATTCTCTTTTCCAATAATTTAAGTTGTGAGTTGTCTTCCTTTTTCAATAAATTTAAAAAATGACTAATCATGTCGTGCATGTCCTCCACAAATATGATGCCCTCAAATTAATTCCAACGTACGAGACCTCAAACCTAATCCAGCTATGTCCATTCTAACTATGCCGGTTTCAATGTCGATGTCGAAGCCGAATCACGACGTTTGTATTTCCCGTCATCAAATAACATCAGGACATGTAGTCTCTTCGGTTCGACAACGTCCACCCTACACCCCGAATTACATCCCGGATGCTTCCTATGTACGCGTATTTGACACCACTCTCCGCGATGGCGAGCAATCCCCCGGTGCAGCCCTCACGTCGAAGCAGAAGCTTCTCATTGCCCGTCAGCTTGTGAACCTGAGGGTAGATGCAATCGAGGCGGGATTCCCGGCAGCGTCGAGGCAGGACTTTGAGGCTGTGGAGATGGTTGCGAAAGAGGTTGGCAATGAGGTAGGTGAGGACGGGTACGTGCCGGAGATTTGCGGGTTCTCGAGATGCATCGAGAGCGACGTTTGAGCTGCTTGGGAGGCAGTGAAGTATGCTAAGAGACCAAGAATACATATGTTCATTGCAACGAGTGAGATTCATTTGACCCATAAGCTTTAGAAAGACGAGAGGGGAAGTGGTTGAGATTGCTAGGAACATGGTGAGGTTTGCACGAAGCTTGGGTTTTGATGATGTTGAGTTTAGCCCTGAGGATGCTGGCAGGTTTGATCTTTAATCATGAGCTAGTTCGAGTTTATTAGATCCCACATCGATTGGAGAGGAGAACGAAATACCCTTTAATAAGGGTGTGGAAACCTTTCCCTAACAGATGCATTTTGAATAAGGTTGTTAGGCTAGCGTTTAAGGGAAAATCCTAGCGGTAGGCTTGGGCCGTTATAAATGGTATCAAAGTTATACACTAAGCGATGTGCCTGCAAGGAGGCTGTTCCTTGAATGGGGTAGACAAGAGACGGTGTGCCATTAAGAACGCTGGCCCTCGAAAGGGGATAGATTTGGTGGGGGTCCCACATAGATTGGAAGAAGAAATGAGTGCCAGTGAGGATGCTAGGCCCTGAAAGGTGGTGGATTGTTAGATCCCACATCAGGTTGTGGAGGAGAACGAAACACCCTTTATAAGGGTGTGGAAGCCTTTCCCTAGCCTAGCAGACGCGTTTTAAAGCTCTAAGGGGAAGCTCGAAAAGGAAAGCATTTTTCTAGCCTAGCCCTGAAGGGAGGTGGATTATTAGATTCCACGTCGGTTAGGGAGAAGAACGAAACACCCTTTATAATAGTGTAAAAACCTTTCCCTAGCAGACCGTTTTAGAGCCTTGAGAGCGGAAGTCAAAGGGAAAGTCAAAATAAGATAATATCTGATAGCGATGGACTTAGACCGTCACGTAGTTCGCATATTATATTTGAATTTAGCTGGTGAGTTGGTATACCATTTGTTTGGGGTGTGGTATCAGATCAGAAAAAGAGTTTCTCTATCAAATTCTCGGTGAAGTGATAAGAGCTGGGGCGACAACTCTGAACATAACAGACACAGTGGGGTATACAGTGCCAGCTGAGTATGGGAAGCTGATAGCTGATATAAAATGTAATACTCCTGGCACTCAAAATGTTATCATTTCCACGCATTGCCAGAATGACCTTGGGCTAGCAACTGCCAATACAATAGCAGTAAGTGATATTATTAACCCTCTAAATGTTCTTGCTCCAAATTCCATTCCTCTCATATTTTTGTTTTGTAGGGGGCATGCGGTGGTGCAAGGCAAGTTGAGGTTACAATAAATGGCATAGGTGAGAGAGCTGGGAATGCTTCACTCGAGGAGGTAACCGGTTCTTTCATTTATCAATCGATCTATGTTCAAATTGGTTCTATGATTTTTGTAACACTCTATGCTCGGGATTTGGAGTTCGAATTCGGTATCTAATGACCCTGTATTCTCTAGTGGTATAGTCATGTTATTTACTATTTGCTTCTAAGAGTGAAAACTATCTCTACGTACCCATACAAGTCCGTCTAGCCTGTTCTGTCCTTGTTTGCATGCGTCCTAAGAAATATTTACTCTTTGTTTCTAAGAGGGAAGCCTATCCCTATAGACCCATCCAAGTCCTTCTAGCATGATCTGTCCTTGTTTGCATGAATCCTAGGAAATTAATGGTCTCGGTATTTTCCTGTAATATAGACACGTTACTTACTCTCTGCTTCTAAGAGTAAAGACTATCTCTACTTCTAGCATGTTTTTCACGTTCTTTACTATTTGTTTCTAAAATTGGAGACTATCCCTTTAGACCGACACAAACTTTTCTAGCATGTTTTGACCTCGCTTGAAATTTTTTGAAAAGTCACCCCGTAGAATTGCTCAAAGCAAAACATACTTAACCATATAATTCTTATAATTGAACCGCCAAAATTGATATATGCACCTTGTTGGTTCCGATGGTAACTATCAATTCTTTTATTTTTCTTAGTCTATCCTTTCCTTAAGACCACTCTATTTGAATGAGGTTTCGGTTCATTCATGTACCCTTCATTTACTCGAGTGTCACAATTTTACGGTACAATAAAGTTTGTTCTTTTTGTCTTTTTACGGACCAACCCGAGTATAACTCGTGTTAATCCATTCGAAAAAAATATTAGATATAGTGCACATAGGAGTGGTGATATGTTCAGGTGGTAATGACCCTACAATGTCGTGGAGAGCATGTGCTTGGAGGTCTTTACACTGGAATTAACTCAAGACATATCTTTTCAGCTAGTAAGATGGTAATTAATTACCAGAAAAGCTTCTTGAAAAACTTACCAAAAAGCTTAATTATTTGAGAAGTTTGGCCAAATTGGGTGTCACTGTTGCTCAGGTAGAAGAGTACACCGGGTTGAATATACAGCCCCACAAGGCCATCGTTGGAGCCAATGCCTTTGCTCATCAAAGTGGCATCCACCAGGTTGCTCTTCTTCCATTTTTACTCTTGTTGAGGCTTAAATGGTATCCTAAATATGATCATTGATACTCAGGATGGGATGCTTAAGCACAGAGGCACTTACGAAATCATACCACCAGAAGATATTGGCTATCAACGATCTAATCATGTTAGTGTTATTCTTGGAAAGCTCAGGCATGCCCTGTTTCTTTACTGGTATGAGCCTCGATAAAGTTCTTATTTTTTTCCACCAAAGCTCCACCTTTGACTTTCTTATATGTATAGTGGGCGTCATGCTCTTAAAAGTCACCTTCAAAAGGTATATTGTGATAGTATTTTTCGTAAGTTATCATATCATTTATTTATTGTAGTGGCTTCAACATCATTGTCTTTTAAACTTGGCTATGAGATCGACGAGGACAAGCTTGACAACGTATTTTGGCGTTTCAAATCTTTAGTTGAACAGAAAAATGTAACTTTGATGATACCCATTTGAGATTATTCTACCTAAGTTACCATTCATTAATATTCCCAACTTGTTTTTGAATTTTCACAGCATTGGTATCTGATGAAGTTTCTAAGAAAGTTGACATCAAAATGACTGAAAACCGAACATAGTTTATGTGAAATTTTAGATTTTATTATAGTTGGATCGTTTTTTTTTAAATAAATTTATTTACAGTAAGTGGGATGTACAAGAGATTACTTTCGAATATGAAACTTATATCATTTTATAATATTCGTTCATGTGAAGACACGTTGATAGAGATTACAACGATGTAAAATATTTAATCTATTTTTATAATTGGTTAATTGAGAAACTTAATATTTAGTATCTTATACTTATTTACGGTTGTATTTAATCTCTGGAGGATTTTTTTTTGTTGGACATTTAATATTTTTGCTGTTCAAGGATAAAAGGGTAATTTCACCCTTAAAAAGTTTAAAAGAAAAAAGAAAAAGAAAAATAAAACCACTTTTTAAGAACATTTCATTTTGAATTATATATTTATTTTATTTTATTTATTCCTTTTCGAATTAGTTTGACCAATTTGCCATTCATTTTCTTTACCTCCGTCCGCCATGGCTGCGGCTCTCTCCAGAACTGCAAGACGCCTCTTCCTCCCTTCCAAACTCCTTCCTTCTTTCACATATTCAACAACTCCGCCGCTTCAACCAAACTCCGATTCCCCTTTCCCTTCATTTCGTGCTGCTAAATCCGCCATTTTGTCCCAATCAGATCCCGATAAGCTTGCCCAATCCTTCATCCAATATTCCGACCTTCCGGCATTCCGACGCCACCGCCCAATCTACCACTATTCCATCCGCAAACTCGCGCGTGCTCAACGCTTCGACCTCATCGATGGCATCATTCAATCCCAACTCAAACCCCCCTCCGCCATTTCTGAAGGCTTTTGGATCCGCCTTATCATGCTTTACTCCAGCTCCGGCATGGTCGATCAAGCTATCCGCACTCTTGATCAGGTAATCCTGAACAAACCCTGCGATCTGTCAGAGAAATCGCTCTGTGCTGTTCTCTCTGTTTATCTCAACAATTCCATGCCTGAGAAAGTTCATGAGATGTTTAGAACCATTCCGGAGAAGATTGGTGTTACTCCGACGGTGGTTTCGCACAATCTGGCGTTGAAGGCTTTTGTTCAGCAAAACGATCTTGAATTGGCTCGGAACTTGATCGATGAGTTGTACAAGGATGATGCTAAGGTCGTCCCTAACATTGACTCGTACAATATCTTGTTAGGAGCTTATTGGAACAAAGGCGATTTGGTCGGTTTCGACGGGATTGTGAAGGAAATTTCAAAGAGAGGTTTGGAGTTCAATTTGGCTACTTACAATTACAGGATTTTGAGGCTGTGCAAGAACAAGGAGTGTGCTCGGGCCAAGAAATTGCTAGATGAGATGGTTTCAAAGGGTGTGAAGCCCAATTCTAGTAGCTATGATGCAATCATCTATGGCTACGGCAATGTTGGGGATATTGAATTGGCTACGAAAGTTCTGAAGAGTATGCTGGAGGATGGCCATGTCTCACTCAGTTCGCGAATCTATTATAGTTTGATTCGAAGCATGGTTAAGGAGGGGGAGTTTGCCTCGGGAGCAAGCAAGAAGCAAGCCAGCCAACAACATGAATTACATACTCTTGAGGTGATTTGGCGTTGGAGACATGTAGAGAGATCATAAAGAGGAGGTGGGTTCCTCCATTTGAGGCAATGGAGGGCCTGGTTCGTGGATTGGTGGGTATATCGAAGGTGGAAGAGGCAAAAGAGGTTGTTGAAAAGATGAAGAAGATGCTCAAAGGACCTGCTGTGGATTCGTGGGGGAAAATTGAAGCTGCTCTTTCTCTGTAGAGTGATTACAGACACTCATTTGAAAGATTTGAAATGCGTTGTTGATTGTTTTTATGGCGATTGAAATCTTGCATCTAACAAGAACAGAGCATCAAAATCTCACTTATATGTAGCTTTGTTGCTGCTCCATCCGTTCATCATAATGGTATGTAATTTGCTACTCTTTTGCTCCTCTGCCTGTTCTTTCTTCTGGGAGTTGCTACTACCATGTTCTTCCTTGGACTGCATGAACTGAATGGATGAGTTTAACTTCAATTAGAGGGAATGGATTGGTCTTAAATGACACTATTTATGCTACTTTTGATATGATTCTCCATTTTCATATTCATATTCTTGTTCTCTATTCTATAATCGGATGAGGCCTTCATTATTGGACTTGAAAGTTATCTGTGAGTTGTTGATCCATTGAAGAGGCTGTTTGCAGCTCTTTTTAATTCTCATTCGCTGCTTGGCATCGCCTCCAATAACATTTTCTGTAACTATTTTTATTCCTTTAATCTTATATTATAAGATACGGCTGTTTTGTTAACCATATAATTAATTTTGTTTTAAAAATATCAAATTAAAAGCATTAACACTCTCTACTTACAAAAAAAAAAAAAATTCTAGGTTTGAGGGTATTTTTTAGACAAAATGTAACGTTCGGGGATCTTTTTATTAATTTAATATTTTTTAAAATAAATAACAACATTTAAGGTATGTATATATACACGTAAGTTAGTCTAGTTTTAAAATTAAATCAATATTATTTTAAAAGTTTATTTTTATTTTTTTTGACGAAGGAAACTTAATCTAGCCACAATGACCTATAACGTTCTATTGAAATTAAATATTCAAACAATCGTGCCCAATATTTTTTTTTATATCAAATAAAAATAAATAAATTTTCATCATCTAAAATCATTTAAAAAAATTATATCTAATACACTTATGAAATAGGGAAGATTTGAATATATATTTAACAAAATTCGAGTATTTATAAGCCCATCTATTTTGAGAATCAATAATATAAATAATATAAAGATATATATATATTTTTAGTACAATCCATTCTTTAAAAAAAATAATAATAATAATAATAAAAAAAAAATATATATATATATATATATATAAAATAATAATAATACATGTGAATAATCCATAAGCTATTATCGTCTTAAAAGTATGGAAATTAAAACAATAATGTTAAGAAGGTGGGTTTAATTGGATCGTTATCGACCCGGTTCACTTTCATCAAAGCGAGGGACTGTGAAAAAGCAGTGAAGAAGCGGCAGACGAACCAAAAATCAAAGTCTGAAACTCGACGCAGCTCAGGTAACCCTATCGCTCATCCCTTTTCAATCTTCTTCGTACCTGTATTTCCTGATTTGAGGTCCATTATCTCCACTACCACATGATTCAAATTTGGTTAATTTTTTTCTTTCCTCCTTCATTCATCGCTCGATGATTTCTGTTTTCTTTGCTTTCTCCTCTGCTTTTCCTTTCGAGATCTATGTTCTTGAAAAGATTTATGTGTCTCTCGCGGCTTTTTTCAGAGATTTTAATTTACTGATTGGCCGTGTTTTGTGTAGGTCTTAGCTTTGATTTCATGAAAATTGGTGAATAATGGCTAGCTATGCGGGTAAAGGAGCCCTCTCAAATGGGTCTGTCTACGTCTGCAACCTGCCCTATGGGACAGATGATAATATGCTTGCTGAATATTTTGGAACAATTGGGTTACTAAAGGTTGGGAAATTTAGCCACAATTTTGTTGACCCTTTGCCTGTTTCTATGCGCCTTTGCTTTTGGTTGTATTAGTATTAATAGTCCTCTTTTTCGCTTGTTTAATCTTCAAAGAAAGACAAGCGAACAGGTAGACCAAAGATCTGGTTGTATCGTGATAAATCAACGAATGAGCCTAAAGGAGATGCTACTGTAACATATGAGGATCCACATGCAGCCTTAGCGGCTGTTGAATGGTTTAACAATAAGGATTTTCATGGTAACATCATTGAAGTTCATATAGCAGAGTCCAAAAGTAAGGATGATCTCTCATTTAATGTGGGGGATGATCCAATTGTTGTTGGTGATGATCTTGGTTTCGAGGAGAATGCTGCGGATGTGAATGGGGGCGGTGGAAGGGGGAGAGGTCGCGGTGATGTTCCAGGAAAAGCATGGCAACAAGAGGGAGATTGGCTGTGTCCAAATACAAGGTCTGTGATATGATATTGGTGAGCAGCTCCTTCTTGCTTCTTTCAATCGATCAATCTTGCTCGCCTTGTATCATTCACTTATTGTTGTTTAAATGGCTTCTCATGTGCTATCCTACTGGCAGTTGTTCCAATGTTAATTTTGCATTTCGCGGTGTGTGCAATCGATGTGGAAGTGCTCGACCTTCTGGTTCTGCTGGTAGTGGTGCGGGCTCTATAGGTCGTGGCAGGGGCCGAGGCACCGGCAACCAGGACTCTGGAGGCAATGGCCGTCAAGTCGGTGGCCCTACGGGACTCTTTGGTCCAAATGATTGGCCTTGTCCAATGTAAATCTAATTTCACTTTACTTATATGCGACCAGCATAGTTTGATTTGCATTAGTACTTGCAGGAATGTATTGCCTTTGCATTTCCTTTTCTGCAATGTTATCATTTGGTATTTTTATGAAAGTTCTTGCATGGATTATATCTTTACTGTCTTGTTTCTTTGGTTTTTATTTTTTTATTTTTTTATTTTTTTTATTTTTTTTAATGTTTTTAAATATCATGGCAACCGTGAAATGATGCATCTCGAGAGAAGATCCGAAGGAGCAATCACAATGTTAATTTGAAGTTTTGGGAGAAATATTGTCTTGTATGGTTATTTGTTTCTAGATACCCGTTCTCTGCTTGATAACACTGCTTACTGCTTTATGTTTCAGGTGTGGTAACATTAATTGGGCAAAGCGTACGAAATGCAACATTTGTAACACAAACAAACCTGGTCATAACGAGGGCGGCACGAGGTATAACGTGAACTATTTATTTTTGTTTTGCTATTTTTTTTGTTGAAAAGCACATGATCTTATTAGTCGATGACGTTTCTTGCAGTATTTTATTATCTTTTTTTAGTTTAAGGCGACAACCCTTAACGATTGATAGTATAAACTTATGTATTTCTTAAGGGAATGCCACAAATTTTGTCTTAAAAATATGAGATTTTTACCACAAATTTGAGCATAGGTCAACCGATTAAGTCATGCTTTCAACCAAGAGGTTAGAGGTTTGAAGTCTTCTATATCCACTTGTTGTTGAACTAAGCAAGTATGAGATTTTTACCACATTGATGAACTTTTACTCGTTGATCGTGGTCTCTCTGATCATATAAACAGAATATTTGTATGATTGTATACTTGAGCTGTACTAATAATTATAGACTACTACAAAGTCTTATCTGTTATTTTTAAATTATGATTGCATAGAGGAGGGCGTGGTGGAGGTTACAAAGAACTCGATGAAGAAGAGTTGGAGGAGACGAAACGACGACGGCGAGAGGCTGAAGAAGTAAGATGGTGGACCATTGCTTTGAGAAAAACCGTTTTCTGAGTGGGATTTGACAATCTTTTAATTATGATATCAGGATGATGGTGAGATGTATGATGAGTTTGGAAACCTTAAGAAGAAGTTTCGTGCCAAATCTCAGCAAATGGAAGCTGGTCGGGTACTACCAGGTGCTGGGCGGGCTGGATGGGAAGTTGAGGAACTAGGTACGTGTCTGTCCACCAACACCATGCTATTGACCTTGAAATTATTTTGAGAATTCTTCTTGTGCATGTCTGTTAAGTAAACATCAGAATATCGTCGGAGATTTTAGCCCCCAAAGGGCTGTCCGACCCACAGTTACTCTTAAGATTGCACGTTGGAAGCTTTGAGTGAGCTTAACATGGAAAATTCTTGATTGTCTCAACGGGCACTGACTTACTACAAATTCTGATTATCCTGAAAAGTCATTGGCTTAAATATAAAGCTTACCTAAATACATGTTTTTGAACTTTCTTTTCCAGGTGTAGTTGAGAAAGAGAGGATGGAGAGAAGTAGAGACCGAGGATGGGACGACCGAGACAAGAACCGAGATAGCAGCAGAAATAGAGAAAGAGAGAACAGAGAAAGACATCGGAGTCCAAGTAGGGAGCGAGACAGGGGAAGAGATCGTGATCGAGATTACGAGTATGAGCGAGATAGAGAATATGGGAGGGACAAAGACCACCGGAGCAGGCACCGGCACTGAGAAATGGTTCGGGGGTCTGCCTATGAATTGGTAAAACCAGTGGGGATATAATTTTGTTGATGACCTTGTTGGAGGGAGGGGAGAAGGAATGGTTGGAACATTTGGTTTAAAACATATAACCTCGTGGGTCTTATTTTCATTGAGAGATATTCTATTGAGTTCTGTGATACATCTTTTTGGTACGTGAAGAACACTATCAGATTACGAGTTCCAAATTTGCAGGTTGAGTTGTTCTGTTTTCACTAATTTTGCAATCTTACCAAGATCACCCTGACACCTTTACCAGCACATTGAAAACAGCGAGACGTTGACTTTTGACTTAGAACACTTAGTTCTAGTTTATCACTGGCAGATATTGTTTTTCTTTAGGCTTTTCTTTTGTGTTTCTCCTCAAGCTTTAAAATGTATCTATGGAGAGGTTTTTACATCCTTATAAAAAATGTTTTATTCTTAAGGTGAAATTTCACAATTCATTCCCTTGAGGTTAGTGTTCTTCATTTTCGTTACATATTGTCGTCAGCCTTACGATTTTAAAACGCATTTACTCGAGAGAGATTTTCACGCATATATGGCTTCATTGTTTTAAAACACATTATGGTATCATGGTTTTATAACACATTTATTAAGGAGGGATTTACAACGAATGCTTTATTACTCTTTTCCTCCTTTTGTTTCAACATCCATCAACATATAATAATCAAACAATTTATAAATGGCGAAATGACAGCCTACAAATTGACTCCATCGGAGATATTCAAAAGAACGCTCCAAATCCAAAGGCAAGTCTTTGCCAACTGCACCAACAAAGAGCAACACAGCATTACCAAACTGATATCGATCGCCACAGCCCCATTACCCGATATCTCCCAATGTCGCTTGAGGGTTCCTTCAACCAAGCCTTAGTCCACCTGAGGAGTGGTTGCCACGGATTGGAATCGAATAGAATAAATACCGGCCCAAGCCCAAGTCTAATTCCGAAATACACCAACCCTAGCCCCGAATTCCCCCACCCATCCTCCCAATACCACGATCGCCGGCGTCTCACGGCAACCGGCTCTGTCA